TCAATGTGTGTGAGATACCTGCTTTCATCACCCCAAAATATTTGACTAGGTATGTCTTTTCTGTGAGTGAATATATGCCATGCAGTTGACAAAAAAAAAAAATAGTTCTGTTTTTTCTTTCTTCCAATTTGTACGTGTGTGCATACCTGTGGGAAGAAGTGGGTATGCAGGTATGCAGGGAAAGTTGCTTTTAAGTAACAAATCCTAAGAGATTCATATTCACTCATTGAATAAAGTAATTCTTATTTTTAAACTACATTTTGACATGAACTCAATTTGTTCTTATAGAAAAACTAGAGGCCCGGTGCACGAAATTCATGCAGGGAGGTGGGGGGAAGGGGGCCCCTCAGTCTGGCCTGCACCCTCTCCAATCTGGGACCCCTCGGGGAATGTCCGACTGCGGGTTTGTGCCCACACTTTTAACAGATGACAGCTCCATTGTTGTTTCTTTCTTTTCATGCTTAAACCCATTGGAATTAGTAGGTATTCAAAGTGTGTATACATTTTTGGGGGAAACCCTGTATATCTCTAGTCAGTGGTGAAAAAAGGAACCAGCAGATTTGGAACCCCCAGACAGGGAACCTCGCTCACTCCCTGCATGTATCCCCACTCCGCTTTCCACCTTCGTGGGCAGCAGGAGAATCAATGTTTTCTCTCATTAACTCGAAAAAGCACGTCCTGTCACCCTCTGCCTGGCAAGAGTGTGCTAGGCCCCAAGCGAGCGAGGCTCAGTCAGGGCAGCCTTCGCTCATGGGTGCCGGCACCCAAAGTGCACCTTCCTCCTCTGCAGTCGCCCCGACTATCCCACCATTTCACTGAGAGGACGGAACTTCTCGCCTCCTCTGGGTTCCTGATCTTGAATGCTGACCGAAGGCACCTCAGCGAGGGCTGCCCGCGCCCACCAGGTGTGTCTGTCTGCACCTGCTCCTGCCTTAGCACCTGCATTAGCCCCACAGAGGTGATCTCTTCACTGCACTGGCCTCTGCAGGAACAGGGCATCACCACTTGGCCCTCATTGTCATCTCACAGGCGCCCACCCTCAGCACCCGGAACACCCAGACACTATCCAAAGGACGTGAGCATGCCGGAGGGGACGTGCTGGGGTTGATGGAAGTGCGGCGGAGGAGCGGGGGGAACTTGCACATGCCTTTGTCCAGGACTTTTGCAGACACGCAAGGGTGACAGCGCGCTGAGGGATGTTCTCACGCCAGGGGGCAAGAAGAGGATGTGCGCACCGGAGGCCTGTGGCTTCACAGATCTGCAAACCCCCATGGCGTGGCCAGGAGATGTCAATCTGGCTCGCCACGGTGACTGTCCCTGTGATCATGCACCTTCTGGGCCAGGAGGTGGGACTGGCACAGCCACTCCTCGGCACTGATGGCCTGCAGGCACTACTTCAGCTCAGCCAGCAGGCTCCGCTTGGCATGCTCACGGCTGCCACCGCCGCCATGTGGGGAGTACAGGCCGCCCTCTGCCGGCCTGCCTCCCCTGTCCAGAGGCTCTCTGCGTGTGCTGCCCACAGGCCCAGAGTGGCTTGGGCGGGGTGGGAATGCCGGCATGTGCTGCTCACCTGCCCAAAGTGACCGGGGCAGGGTGGAAGCCAGGCGTCCTGCCCTGCCCCACCCCGGCTGGGCCATGTCTGCACACACTGCCCACTGGCTCAGAGCAGCCAGGACAAGGTGGGACGCCTGCCACCAGCCACTTGGCGCCCGTGCACATGTGCACTGACCACAGGCCCGCCATCTTTGTCTGGTTAATTTGCATACTAACTCCTAATTGGCTGGTGAGCATAGCAGAGGGATGGTCAATTTGCATGTTTCTCTTTTATTATATAGGATGTTGATATAATTTTTCTGAATTGGAATGTTTTAAGAGGGTTTTAAGTCATTAGAAACATTAAAATGCATTACATGCAACATGTTTAATTCACAGAATTACGTTTGTTACATTTAGAATTGCAAATTCTTGAAATAGAGGTTGGAAGGCACAAAAAAATGGAGATGGTAGTAGTTTTGTTTTGCCTCTTTATTTTTTCTGTTTTGTGGGGTGATATATAGGTGTGTATAAAGGTCCAAGGACATAAATACCAAGTTAATATATTTTCTGAATTTTCTTCCATTCCTGTCTTTCCCCAGAAGAAATCCATAATAACCTTCAAAGGACTTCTCTGGGCTACTTGTGAGAAATGCATATTCCTTGGTCCTACCCTAGGTCTTTAAAAGCAGAAGAAACCTCTGGGAGAGGAGCCTTAAAACAGTCTTCAGGGTTACAGAATATCTGAAGAATGTTATGCTGACATAGTGTTATAGTTTGCTAGTATCTTTTAAAAAACAAAGTTTTTATTGATTTTTTAGAGAGAGAAGAAGTAAGAGTGAGAGAAAGATAGAAATATCAATGAGAGAAAAATCATTGATGGCCTGACTCCTGCACGCCCCACACCAGGGATTGAGCCTGCAACCCGGCATGTGCCCTGGCTGGGAATTGAACCAGTGACCTCTTGGTACACAGGCTGTTGCTCAACCACTGAGTCACACCAGCTGGGAAACTAGTATTTATTTATTTATTTATTTATTTA